CACAAGTTGAATTTTGTAGGGATGATATTTTTCCTGCCTCAGGATACGTAGCATTGTGGTCTGACTAATTTAATTGTTTAATGCAATCAATCGTGAAGTATTATGAGGATTATCTACCATACTTATCAAAATGTTCTGTTTGTGATCTTCACTAGCGCTTGGTCGTCCAGGTTTTAGATTATCTACAACATTACCAGTTTCTCTAAATTTAGATTATATCTTACTGACTGTTGATTGGCTTATACGGCGATCTGGATGTTTTTCATTAAATAAATCGCCAACTTCCTGCTGCGTTCTAGTCTTATCCCCGCATCCGATAAGAATTAAAATTTCAATTCTTTGTGTGACAGTTAAATGTGCCATAAATACTTTAAATTCAACAATAATTTTTATATCGCTTACAATACTTATAAAGTCGGTATGGCAATGACACTTTGTAAAGATTTACACCTACGTGATCCATAAAAAACTTCAGGCATTTCGAAAAACTTAATTTGATAACGTTTTTGCTTTATTTTAATTGATTTGGGTTTTCTAACATTCAATCGTCATTTACTCGAAAACTTTCCTATGTAAGATAGCAACATTTTAGTACTTTTGGATCGACAACGAAACGATCTTTCAGAATCAAGAAAAAAAAATAGGGGATTGCTATTTAAAAAAATGTCGATGACGTCATTACTCGAAAACAAATGACGATTGAAAATAGTCTTTTATGCTAAAACATGTATTTTTTAAATTAAAAATCGACCTGTTCGAGGATTTTTCCCAAAATAAAATTGTTTCGTTTTTACTGAATTTATTCCATACTTTAGGCGCGTACTGTATAACTCCATATTCTGATTATCGAAGTGGTAAATAAAAGCTAAAGTATTATTTGAATACATTTTACAGAAGTGTCTAATGAAAAGGTGATTTTATTGTCAATTTTAGTAAAAATCCCTAAATCTTGGCGTCATCAATATTAATTATTCGTTTACAATTTACAATGAACAATGACAAACCGCTACACGTACGCTCGCTATAATGCGATCGCTGATTGGATGATCAGAATCTCATGCAAAATTACACCAATCACAGCCGGTAAAACAGAACATTCTGTTTTAATGTAATCTTGATCTTATTATTTCAATCATTTTTAATTTTACCCTAATTTAATTGCCAACGTAAAGGAAATAAAATTACAGTTCAAAAAAAAATTACTGGTCACGTGGCTTGCAAAAAATTTTGAAGGCTCTGTGTAATTGTCTACTGAGCTAAATGATTGTTTCTGAACTCAATAAAGCATTATTTTATTTAGGTAAGTATTTAAAAAATAAATCAAATTTTTTATTAGATCGGATTCTTATCCAAAAAAAGGTGATAAATAATTAAATAGATAATTACGTAATAAGCGTTACAAATACTAAAAAAAAAGAGAAAAATCGAAGCAACTTTGAATATAGAGGTAGGTAAGTTTATTCAAATAATTCTATATTGACTACAAAAATCTAGTTGTTACATGTATTCGAAATATTGGGACATCCTGCATTATTGAGATTATTCTAAAAAAATGAAAGGTCACTTTCTCAATTTTACGTCAAAAACCAACGTCTCACGAGTAGACAAATGTGTGTTTACTGCAATAATACGCCGTTTGCGAAGCCGCAGAATTCAAGCACATATATGTACTATAAAGGTTCCAAGTGACTCGACTACTTCGCTACCTGATATTGACGTAAATGCAGGAATTATTTTAAAATATGATTTCAATGAGTCACCTCTAGTGATCAAGAATTTCCGACTAATGTTATTAATGCTAGTACCCCCACGTATGTGCGTAATTTTTTCAGTAATTGCGTTTGGCTCTAAAGTCATCATCTGATTACACATCAATAAAGCAATCATCTGGAAAAAACGAGGAAGCGTCTTTCTGCAACAATATAATTGCATTGGCTATGCATCCTAGAGGTCAATTTGCAGGTATGTTTAAGTTAATTTGCGTTATGCTTACAATAACATTTGGACTGTTGTGTTTTTAGCTTTAACACGATAATTAATATAAAAAGTATTGAACTGTGAACTTTGGCAAAACATTATATATCTTTCTGGTTTTTATCAACTACATATTGTTGACGAAAAACGAACATTGTGTTCTATTTACTTCAGATTTTGACAGATATACACACCGATTATAAAAAAAGCAAATTATAGTGTACATTTTTACATAGGCATAGTTCTATCTACTTACCATATTTTTACAATTTTTAGTGATATATTTGTTTCTACTGTTAAGGTCATACTCGTGTAGCACCTCAAGAGATAAGAGTCATTGGCGAAAACATTATTGTTTCGTTTAATATGATTAACATATTGTCGACGTAAGGATTTGGTGTAAACGATAGCAATTTTTTATAATAGAAATTAATATTTTCAAACTTTCATAAATTTGCATTCAGGATAATTTATGGGCGAAGTAGTAGAGTTTACTAGTAAATGTCAATTCTACATATCGTTAGATTGAGTCTCGGGTTATGTGTATTTCCAATTATTTCTTTTACTTTCATACAGAAAAAAAATAGCAGTGGACAATAATTTACGAAATGTTCTTATGATTTCATATAGTACTCTCGTATATTTGGACAGAAGACTTTTTCAAGGTCCAGTGAGATAAAGTTTGATTAATCTATCTGTAATAATGTGATAATAAAGTGTAAAGTGATATTTGGTAAAAGAAATAGGTCCCAGCAGCACAAACATATTGGAAAAATATTTTTTTCACATATTATGTATTGGCTAAATATTGCAAACGACATATTTTGACATTATACTAGTTGACAATACACACCATTATGGGACCGTCATTAATTTACCTGCTGGTTGTACGAGTATATTGGACCTTTACGGGAATTATATTGACTGCATACATCGGACGCCTTTCTTTTACCAAATCTTCCAAATATTGGTCCTAGATTCAATCTGTTATGCTAGACTCCTCTGGACGTATCACATTTACTAATAAAGACATACCTACATATCATACTGTCTATGTCTATGACTGTAATTCTAAGAAAGCATTTCATCCAAGCATATAAAAAATACTAATAACAAATAATACTAATAAATAAAAATCATATTTAAAAAAACACAAGTTTGGTGTATCTTTTAAAGACAACTTTCAATTTTGTTACTTATTAGTACTCGTATTGCCTTGAAATTGCTGGAAAATTTGATAAAAGTTTCATATCAGTTTTTTGTAAGTAGTAAAAGCAAACAATAACACAGTAAAGATCCATAACTTATTTTATTGCTGTAAAGATCTTCGAATAGGACAATGTATAGACTTATGCAAAAAGTGCTGCTGAATCAGAATAATGTACCTAATCAGAAAGATAATAGAACAGCAATTTTTTGTACAAAATAATATAGGAATACACCAGAAACAATACAGTGACGGTCATTTATTTGATCAACTTCAGATTTAATAAGAAATTAATTTCGCCGTTACTTATTTTTTATTTATGTTTCGAATCCAGCAATATACAAAATGTTTCAACTCGAAGATGACATAATTGTATAGCTATCCAAGCAAGCTTCCTTGGATGAAAGTAAACTCTTATTGGGTCAAATTACCTTAGTACCATTTCGTTTCATTAAAAAATTATTGCTCAAAGAAAGTATTTTTTTATGATAGCTCCGTTTTAATGAAATCTGATAAAGATAAATGACTCAATAAAAGCTCTTCTAACATCTTACTATATCATTTTTGTCAAAAAACAATATGATTCTTTAAAAATCGTTTTTTGGGATAAATATTTTCATATTGATGAGCAATTATTTTTCTGATTGCTTACTCTGATTAGAGAATTATTAATTTGGACTGTTTATACATAAGTAATGTTAAAAAGTTCTGATCCAATTATTAGTAAAATACTTCTTTATATATGTTTAATAACTTAAAAAGTATGCTGTGTTTCCTGACGACTTAAAAGTTTAACTTTTTAGTTTTGTTGAAAATGTGCCAATTCAATTAAGATATATGGTTTCCTTTGCTATAACGCTTAAACTTGTTTTCAACATATTTTTAAACCATGAAAAAAAAATGTTAATTAAGAAATAAAAGTATTAAAACTGATTATAGGTACTATAAACTATTGAAGTACCGTATATTGCCAAAATAAATTCTAAAAATATCATTTGAAAAATGTAGAGATTTTAAGAAGTTTAACAGATATAACTTTTCCGGAAGATAAACATACTTTCTGAGAAAATAATCTGTGTTGATGTGTCATGCCTGATATTAATGTAATAAACCATAGATAGCTCTTAAAAATTGGTAATTCTTTGAATTCACGTTTTCTCTCGAAGTGTAGTGTGTAAAAAAAAAACGAACGGTATCACCAGCTTTGTTAACCACTCAGTTTAATCTAGGAATACCAACGTTTATTTATTCAAAAAGCAGGAAAGATTCAACAAAAAACCTCCGCTTCCTAGTTGCCCAGTTTTCTATAAATTTAAAAATATCTTTTGTCCAACAATGTGGGCAAATTCAAAAGTAAACATCAAATTGGTACTAAGAGAGATTAAAATAGGATAATTATAAAACATTGAATAAGAAATAGGGTAAAGGGTGCAGATAATTGAAATAGAACAAGATTTTTAAATGCATTGCAATATGGGTCATGCACACATGCCTATGCATGTTTGTATGAACATAAAAATCAACAGGTAAATGTATAACATGCTCACTCGTGTACCTTGAATATCACATTAAACTTCAAAAGATAGTTATTTATATATTTATTCCAATGTATAACTGTTTACCCTAGGCCCTGGAAATAAATTTATCTACTAATTAATTTAATTAATAATATCAATCAAAGTAATTAATATCATGTCCTATATTCTGTATGGCATATTAATTACCAAATAAACAATAACATACTTGCCCATAGTAAACAATGTTTTCGTTCGACAAAGAAAAATACCGTCAGTGTTATTTAAATTGAAGTAATGCTTACCAGGTAGTCCTGCTGCAATGGAAAGGATGGCCAGGACCAAAACCGTCGTGAACTCCACTTTCATTTTCGAATAAATATCACTCAGTTTATGTCGTTTTGACAAATCGTTCGTTCGCTACAACTGCACTGTTGCGGTAATTCTGAAGCTCGGGCGTTAGAATCCTGCTAAATATAAACCCACGGAAAGAGGCGCGCTACGCGAGTTTCCTGCAAATTGACGACTTAGCACTCGCGGAGAGGATCGGCGCCAGTTTTGAAATAGGGGAATTGTTTCCTGGTAGGAATTTTTGCGGTTGTGTGTATAAGGAAATGTATATTTAGTTTTATCGTGCTAAAATTGGAAACATTACTTTTACTGTCGATGTATAAATGACAGTGATTAATGTTGTTTCAATATTTCACAGCATTTGTAACTTGATGTACTATGATTGACGTCGAATGACAAGCAATCTGCGGTGACGGGTCGAGAGAGTGCGGAATGATTTTTCCAGGTGAAATACTGTTTCTTCTGTAAAATTCACTTTCAAAGGAAAAAAGGAATGGAAACTTCCAATAAAATTATCTTACTTCATATCTCTTAAGTCAAACTCTCTGCAAGTGTATGAAATTTTATTTGAAGAGCCTATACTCTGACAGATATCGTGCCAAAGGCGTATCGTTTCTCGAAAGTCGTCCCAGAGTTATAATTTTTTTTCCCATTTGTATTCACTATTTAGACCCTCTTTAGATCCTACAGACATGCATGATGAAATTTTCGATGAAATTTTATTCGAGGGATAACTTGTAAAGAAAATTGTGAAATCTTACAAATTAATGGAAAGTACGCAAAAAATAACACAGACCTATCATTTCTTATATATTTTGATGCGTTGAAACCAAAGAAGAGTAAAAAAAATATCTATTAGATTTTTTATATTCGTAGGGACGATAAGTCTCTTCTGTATTGAATATGCACTTCTCAATTTATATTTTTAATTGAAATTTTATTTAATTTTATATATTTTTTAATATATTTTAATTTTTTTATATTTGGTAAATATAAAAAACACGGACTCCATCCCAATGACTGATGTATTTTTGTCTGATAACCAAACTTGGCAGACAGTCCTGTTTAAGGCAAAAATGGCGAAAAAGGGCAAAAACACAACTACATATATTGAAAAAAGAATTGTAATAAGGTTGTTTTCCTGTGTAAAAAAAATCGCCGAACATAGTATTGATAGTATATTCAATATTGTATAAGAGACTTGTCTTTGCGATTAGAAAAAATCTAAACTACGAAAATTTGGTCTTGGGGGCAATCTTGGAGTCTAAAGATCAATGACTCCAGAAATCCAAGGACATTGACCATTATCCTCCATTGACTTCAGCATTCGACCATTGACCTTTTGAGGTATTTAAACAATATTTGAAGTAGATGTTTTCGAGTTAGTTTGACACATTTTGAGGTTTTCAAGTTATTTCAATGTAATTAGAGGTTTATGAAAAAATTGTAGGTATTTTAAAATACCTGTAGGTATGTATACATTTAAAAATTTCGGAGGTTTTGCAATATTTTAAGGTTTTCAAAGTATTTGTACATATTTAGTTGTATTGACTATTTCAAAATTTTTAAAAGTTTACGATTTATTTCTAGTTATTTTGGAATATTCTCTTTTTGATCCATTTTTAAGGAGTTACGGACTACTTTAATGTATTTCACAGTGAATTTGGAGAAATTTTATGTAGTTTAAAGCTAGATTGACGTATTTTGTTGTATTCTATAGTTGGTTGGTACTAAGACATATTTTATAGTTGTTTTAATGCTTGTGATGGATTCTATTACTGGTTCCAAATTCTCCCTCTCAAATAAAAAAACACAAATCACACAAATTATCCTGCTTCATATCGCTTTCACAAACTGTTTTCCAAAAAATAAATACTTACATTATATTGCGCCATGCCATTTTCAAAATAATTGTCGTTTCCCTTATTTGGGTTTGCCAGTATATCTTTAGGTGTCCCACCGAGGACAGCCAGGACAATTAAGCGGTGTGAACGTCCTTCTATGTCCTCTTTTTTTTAGCAACTGCCGTCTTCCGTGTCCTTCCTAGCTCAAAATTTATTTATTTTTACTTCTTCATTTATTAATTGATTATTTAAAATTTTATTACACTACGTTTGTTAAATAAACCTCTATAAAATCCAAGAAGCGATTCTTTCAGTACTTTTAAGTGAGTCACTCTCAATAAACTCGGACCCTGGACTTTGCCGCCTGTAACGCCTAATAGTAAGAAAAGGATATCTTTCATTTTATTCAAAAAGCGACCATATCCTACATTTCACCAATTTTATTTTATTATCTTTACTAGACACTTCATAAAATGTAAAATGCATTAGAACCCTTGTTTATGTATATAAATAAGGTTAGAACTGTTCCCGTATTTCAAAAAAAAGTTCATAGATTCTTGTTAGAAATCCACTATTACGAATTTAAATACAATTATCATGGAAACTGCGAAAAAGACATTGGCGTATAAATTTACATTTTGTAAGAGATAACATCAGAGGCATAGACCAGAAGAAAAATTGTGTCAGTAATTTTCTCGGATTTTTTCAGGGCTGCCTTATACCATTGTATAAGTAAAGTATTTACTTATACAATGCTTATACTTATATATTATAAAATTGTATTATTTGAACCAAAAATCCTGTAAACTGTAAACCTGTTTTCATCAGTTTATTGATGTGTTTGATAACAATAATGTAAGTAGTTTAAAAGGAGTAATTTTAAACCGAAAATGACGCTGATCTACAAGTGTTAAATTTCTAGAGTTTTTAGTGAGTGTAACTTCCGGTATCCCCGCCGCTGTAAGACGTATTTACATCTAAATTTATTTTCTTTAGTTAGATAAACATTTAGCCCAAGTTTTATCATCATATGTCTTTGGAGATATTTTTGAAAATGCGAAATTTTTTTCAAATTTCAATCTCCCGAGGACTGGAATTATGAACCCATGTTTCTATAGCCTTTTTGAATAACTAATGAATAATTAGATAATTTTTTCAGTGTTGAGATTAAATAATGAAAAATGAATAGAAAATACACAGAGGTAAAAAGTGCCAGTTTGTTCATTGTCCATTAGTAAAGTAAAATACAATAGTTCTTACTGTTATTATACATAGAAAAATGTTCAGTTAAAAGTTGGAGACTAAAATGTTTGTAATTCATTGATCACGGACAAGTATTATAAAAATAGATATGTTATAATGCATTTTTTAGGAAGTTTTATATAAGAAACATATTCAAAATTAATGATTTTTTTTTTGTATACAAGTGTGTCTGTCAGAGCAACCACATAGAAACAATTGAATTTGAGTCAACTTACCTTAGTCCAAAAAATTCTTCGTTTAAAGGTTATAGAGTGCCAAAATATTCACAAGGCAAGAAAATATTTTCAAAAAGAGTGTCTAGCATGTATCGATGAACTTTGTATTTTCATTTTGAAACATTAACCTGTTTAAATATATTCTGCTTAATGTATGATGCTGGGGCTCTAGTGATGCAGATTAAGGCTACATAGATAAATTTTTATTTAAAAAATCATTATCGATTTTCGGAAAGAACATAAGAAGAACTCGCAACAGGCCATGGATTACCAATTGAATCAGCGCAATTAGTTCAAGAAGGTACATCTAGAAGAAAATTATATTAACATTAAAGAAAATGGTTTCACATGTATTTCCTGACAATATAGCGTCTTGGTTCTTTATAGGCCGCATTATACATCCCTGGAGTCAAAATATAAGATCAATGATCTTATTAATCAGGTTGACAATATTGCACTGTCTGAAAAGTTCTTCAAAGTCGGTATGGTAAATATAACAGACGGATTAAATTTTCAATACAATCAGTGAGTTGTTCAACGAAAATCAGGCGTTAAAAAAACTCAAAAGTCAACGTTAATTCCTTTGACGGGGCTGGAAAATTTTAAACGAACTCAGTCTAGTGATGCAGATTCTGTGAATTGCTTTGGAAGATACGTTGTGTAAATTTTACAATTAGGTAGGTACCATAATAATTTGCAGGCAAATTTCTATTCCTAATCATAATTACTATTACTATCTATCGTAATAAATGTTGAAAATTATACTTTAAATGTTCGTACATTATAATTTATAAATATATTGGCATTTTTTTCAGAACTGAAACTGAAACATGTATGGAGTTATTCGACTTATCTGAGCTCTAGACAGTTACGTTGCTCAGCTCTTTATCATATTTAAATATTTTGGGAGAAGAAACCCTGCTGGAAGATTAAAGTTTGGAGCTCAAATTTAGATAGAAAAGTTCCATTGTTAAAATAAAAATTTTTGAGGCTGTACTTTGTTTCTGCTGGCTTACAATGAGAATTCAATGATTTAGCTTTTCAGAGGACAGTTATGCAACCATTAATACAACATTCTGATTGTTGTGTCAGGAATATTTTTATTAATAAGATTTAGTTCCATTCTGTATGCCGTTACATTTTTTCAGTATTAGTCATTCGAACAAAATGCCTACCTATCCAATTTTTAATGAAGACTGGGAGATATAATTGTGTTGGATTAGGTATCTAGTAGATATCTACGAAAATATCACTTGCGTTAAAAGCTAAAATATAAATAAACATTTTCATTACATTTCTGTTCCCTCTTTTTACTGTTTGTGTGTATACCTAGATGATAAAAATGACGCATTCAAACAATAAACAATATTCTTTTGAGCAGCGAGCAGTGGCGTAGATTTCTCAAAATGGGGTGGCACACTAGATATAACTAAATTGTCCAGTAGGTACAGATAAATAGGTATGTTAAGCACATACCTATATTTTTTATAATATAAAATCAAAACACTTCAGCTTAGATTTCAATATCTATCATGTAAATAAGGTAAGGAGCATAATAGATTTAATTTTATGTAATATACAATAATGATTAAAGATATTATACCTGCGCGAATTGTTAAGCCGGGTACACATCTGACAATGAACGGATACGAGGCAAGATAATATTTAAATACCGCTAATACTGTTCCCAAAGGCTTAGTTTTTGCTTTGCTTCGAACCCGTTTAAACTCAAATATTTACCCAGCTTTAGCCTATATAAGATACTGAAGAAAATCGTGAAATATGTGTAATATGGAAACAGTATATTTTAATTTTGGTTATACTTATCTGGAATTCTCTTCTTCTTCTTCTTTCCTTGGTTCTGATAAGTCCCATAGCACCGCGTCCTTAGAATCTGGAATTTAGACCAAGCCAAGAACTAAATTCTCTTGACAGTAAACATACAAAAATATGCATAAAAACTAAAAAACTGTTTAAAAACTGATTGCAAACATTTGTGTAAATCATTTACACATTTAGACATTTGTGTTTTTTGTTTTCCGACGAGGATTTAAAACAAAAGTTTTAAATAAAAATATTTGCCCGCAAACAATTAGTGTGGACATGTTCGTTCACAAACGGGTACATTCAGCGCATTTGATATGTGTACAGATCCTTTAAAAATATTTACAAGTCACGTCACCAGTAATTTTGTTTGAAACAGTAATTTTATTTCCTCCACTCGGTAAATTTAAAAATTATTAAAATAAGATGAAGTTCACATTAAAACACAACACTCTGTTTCACTGGCTGCTGATTGGTTTAATTTTTCACGACAATTCCTTGAACCTATCAGCGATCGCATTATCTCGAACGTAGACGTAACAGTTTGTCATTGCTCGTTGTAAACGAATCATTACTATTAGTGAAGCTAATTGTAAGATTTAAGCATATTTAGTTGAGTGCAATGTTGGTTGCCTATGCTCGGCGGTCACGTGGCTTGTATTAATTTATTAAAGGCTATGTATATAAATGGACCAATCTTTTCAGTCTCGAAATCAGTAAGTGTTAATTTCAAAATACTTCAGAATCCAGTAACATCACATATTTTGAATTCTCTCAAAAGATTTTCTATCTAAAAATGTTCCAACGATTTTTATATTTTCTTTTAAAATTCACAAATATGCAGCTTACAAAAATTTTAACCTTGGAATATATTGTTTGAAATATTTAAAAATATTGATGCGGACAGGTTACTTCTACCCCTAAACTTTTATTCTGAGGGAAACAATTCACATTTCATGAACGTTTGGTTTTATTTACGAGTTTACACGATTTGTTACGGGTATTGTGTAAGAACATTTATGTAAAAATTGTTTGCAGATTTGGACTAGGCTATAGTATATGTAAAATTTGTGTTCTCAAATGGAGTACACACGAGAAAAATTTACTTACTGGGATTGTTAAAAAAAGAAAAATAGTAGGTACCTATTTGTATACCTAAACAACCTACTACAATTTAAGTAAATAAAAATTTTCTTGATAGAAAACAAAGCTTAACTTGACTTAATCTAATCTGCAAAAAAACAGTAATTAATTAAAGAGGACAAAATTCAGGATGGTACAAGATAAGAGAAAAAATCGTAAGTAAATTAAAAAAGCTTAATTTGATCTAATAATCTAACATGGACTAGGCGGAAATGAAAATTTTTCTATGCGCGTAAAAAAACCTTGCGCTTAACTTTTGGCAGCACAATATGTTAAAAAATTCGAAAAATCTCATATTTTTCTTCCTATTAATTATGTATCTTTTCATGAGTTGATTTTAAGCGAAAATGGAAGAGGAATGTAATTACATTTTTTAATCGCCAAATATGGGGAATTTTTTTGGTGAATTATTATGCAAAATCTATAGATTTTGATAAAATTTGGTGCGATGATTCTACATAACATGAAGTTTTCTCGAACCAAGTATGGTCATATACCCAATTTAAAGATCCCAAAGAAATTCCCTAAAAAGTAATGTTTTTTAACCCCAATTTCGGCGATTTTTTCGATTTATACAATAATAATCAAGATTCATTCGATTTTATTTTGTAAAAAATTTAATTACAAACATTTCTTTCCTCATCCATTTTCGCCTAAAATCAGCTCTTGAAAAAAATACATAATTAAATAGGAAGAAAAATATGACATTTTTCAAATTTTTTTAACATATTGTGCCGCCAAAAGTTAAGCCCACGTTTTTTTAAGCGCTTAAAAAAATTTTAATTTCTAGTGATATTTGAAAGCCAAAAAGCCAAAAATCTTCGTGGATATATGATTCACCCAAATATGGACTTTGTGAAACAGATACCGTCTGGACTAACATGCAATAATAGAATAATTATCATATTAAAATTAACTTTGTTAATTACTACATTAAAACAATGTTTCCTAGTTTCAAATTTTCTCTCAGTCTCTACTCTAATTTAACTAATGCGCTAATTTCAAGTCAAACAAAACAGATTTTCTAACATGCACACCTGTAAGTTTTTAATAAGTACAACATATAGAACACATGAGTTAGGTCATTTTTTCTGAACAATATCAATATTTCTTTCTGAAAAGGGAGCGGTAGCCAAACTAAGTTTGGGAACCTCTGTTCATTATGAAGATCTAGCGGTAAAAAGTGAGGGGCGCGGGCCTCCTAGCCCTCGCTTGTATACGCCTCTGACTTTTTTAAGTACGACACTGACTGAACTGACTCGTTCTACCATTCAACTGTTTATTCATGGGAATAGGAGGGGAAGAGGTAGAGTGGATTAGTTTGCTGTTTGTTGCATGGCAATGCATGGAGCGATCGAGTACCGAACGAGGCCGTGTTCGTGAGAGAACGTGGCTGAAGTATAGAGAAAGAAGAGAGAGATAGGAGGTATAGTTAGTTGTAAAGCTGTACGGGGACGGGGTTGTGTTGCGTCTTTGCATTTATGCGTTCCGCCGTTAAATTTTGACATGTAATCTCACGAAGTAGCCAGTGTTTTGTTTTGTTTTGTGTTTTAATGGTTGTTTTGATTTAGACATCCAACTACCAGTGCTAGTTATTAAGAGTTCAATTCTTGGATTAATAGTACATACAGTGTTCGAGTGGGGTACCTACCTAATACAAGGCGACAAAAGGCATTACACTGACGTTATTTTGTGTGCCTCGACAAAAACGATCATCTCAGAACGAAAGCGTAAGTTTACTTCTAATTTAGTTTCTTTTAGTTTACAATACATGCGTTCGTCGTTTGACACTTGACAGGCGTTTGTGTCTTAAATGCAGGATGCATCCTGAAAAGAGACTCTAAATTTTTACAATTTCGGAATATAAAAGGTTCCATCTTATTTAGGTTACCTACCTTAAATTTCTGGTTTCTTTGTTAACGTTATCGTGTCAAATGTTTGTTTGCTTTTAAGCGACTTGATTCGTGTACCTACTTACTAACTAGGTGTGAAATGAAAATATTTAACTGGACATAAATTAATTACACTCAATTGATACCAGTTTTCCAATTTAAGTTAACGAACACTTGAAAGGCTTAAATTATTATGACTATATAAAGAAAATTATATCATTCACAATATTATTTAACTCATAATTGTATACTAGTGTTATTATAAAAGATAACTTACATTTACAACTGAAGTGAAGCAAATCAGTTACCTATATTATTAAGCTGAATTTATTTAATCAAAGTACTGTAATTTCAAGCTAGAGCAAAGCTAAAACTTCTACTTCTGCGTTCCTCCTATGCAAGGGGGATCAAGCATATACATATTAGTATTCAAGGCCGTAAAAACGGAAATCTTCAATTAAAAGATAACTGGAAATCATAGCTGGACTAACAAGCTTGACTATGCTGTGAAAAATCTATTACTGCCCTGAGTGTAACTAGAATATACATAGGTACTCGTATCTAATAATTTGTAGGGATACCTACCCAACCTCAGATGTTATAGTTACATCAATAATTTGCTGAATTACTCTAATTTCCAATGTTGTATCCGAATTAAGATCAGTTTGTCATCAATACATTTAGGGGCTTATATTTGAGCATATTTATATACATTTAAATAAAAGCAGTGATTAATAATCTTTTGAAAATTAGTTTTTCTACCGCAATAAGTTTTTCGATTTTGATTGAATCTAGCTTTAAATTGCCTGGGAACCTACTTGACTGTTTATATTGGAGGTTCTAGTCAGGCACTTTAAACGCACCTTCCCAGTGACCCTGATCGTACAAGCAAATGTATTAGGTACCTATGTACTAGGAATTATACAACACAAAGATACTGGTCGAGGTTCTAGTCTACCAAGTGTCATTATTTTCGTGCTCGTATTCCAAACTGGTTAGATTTATTTGTTGTAGAGGGAATTTTATCTGCAGCTTTGAAGAGATAATGTTATTTAAATTACAGTGAAATGGTTTCAGGTTTGAAATCGACTAATAAATACTCGAATAAATAATACTGAATTGAGTGGCGGCTTATGCGGCATTGCTGAATATCATTGATGCAAAAATTTTGCAATTTCTTCAAGCTATGCCCTTTGCAACTTCTAACCAAAATATGCGAATTCTTTTAATAATTATGCAGTGTCTAAAATCGCATCCCAAAAAAAATCATATAAGTACTTTTTTGAGAAACAAGTTTCGAGTACAGTTATTTTATATTCATTGAACTGCTCCCTAAAGGTTAAAATTAACTTAAAAAAGTAACTCCAAAATGGTAAATTTTTAAAATAAAATAATTGGTAAAAGTTTTTGCCTCGGTTTTTGCTTTGAAACATGGCTAGGAGTTACAAACAGTGAATTTCGAAAATACCCAGTGGGCAGTGTTCAGTATTAGTACTTTCCAATGTCTCCATCACTAGCTGACATATTTTCACTCAAATTCAGCTGTAGTCGAGGCTGTACTACTGATACTGATAAACAAACTTGAAATCTGAAGGCTATTTGAAACATACACACAAAAAAAATTCTCCAATCAAGACTAATAATTTATACAGGGAGTTTCAGAAAGACCTCCCGTAAATACAAGGGATGATAGTACGACAAAAAATAAAAATTTTTTGTCTTATGAACTATATGTCTATCTCGTCTTGTTTTCGAGATACAGAGCGACAAAATAAAATTTTTTTAAATAAAATTTTACGAAAATTTCCAAACGGTGCGAAATATTTTTATGAAATTTGGTATTCTGGGGTTTTTAAGGATGTTAAATACGCTGGTCTAATTATTTTTTGGATATTTCATAAAGGACGCTAGTTATGCTACACTCCTATTACATTTTAAGTTCTATTATTTTTAAGGTTAGGTTTTTTACCATACGGGCTCCAATTTCTAATGTACAATTTTATTTTCTAAAAATGTACCCTTGTTAGAACTTCTTAATGTGGACGGTTTTCGAGAAAAAAGGCTTTTAATTAAACTCTTACAATATTACAGAGTATAAAATAAGTGACTTTTCTCAAGTAGGCTTATGTCAAAACTTATTGATGGATGTCTCATAGTCATAAACAACGCATACATTCTTAGTAATATTTTAAACTCTAATTAAGATATATCAAAATTTTAGTGACTGTTAGTGACTGTAGTTAGTAATGACTAATTACAGTTACTAAAATTTTGATATGAAGTTAGAGTTTAAAATATTAGTAAGAATGTATGCGATGTTGATGAGACATTCATCAATAAGTTTTGACATGAGCCACTTATTTTATACACCGTAATATTTAAGAGTTCAATTAAAAGCCTTTTTCTGGAAAATCGTCCACATTAGGAAGTTCGTATAAAAGAAAATAAAATTGTAGAAATTGCATGCAGCCCGAATGGTAAAAAACCTAACCTAAAAAAAATTTGAAATTAAAACGTAAAAGTGTTTTTAAGTGAAAATATTTTACTCGGTTCAAGAATATTGTACCTAGGTATATGAGCATCAAAACCATATTTTTTTGCGTATATAATAAAAATATTAGGTATTTATAGGTATTTGTTTAAAAAATTGTGTCAATTTTCTTTCTTTCTTTTGTCAATGACGCACAAACCACTTAAAAAATATATCTGCAGTTATTTAAAGTCAACTATTAAAATAAAAAAATATGTTTCCCCACATATTACTAAAATCTTGTAATACCGAGGTTTGTTCATTGAATTATTTATTATTTAGAGTAGGTAATTATTTAGCTCCGAAAATGGCCCGATCTCGAGCCTGATCAAAAAACAAAATATTGAACTAAAGAAAATAATCTGGGCAATACTTACCACAAATGCCTAAGGAGTTTAAGAAAATTTGAAGTAATTAGCTTTCGTCGAGGCTTCTGTGTTAAAAATATGAAACATGATAAGTTGGAATTGGTCTAGTCTTTCCGAAGTCAGTTGAACATGTATAAAAACGCGTAGCAATAACATTTAATGAGTTTCATAGGCGTCCCTAAAAAAATTTTCTGCTGAAGGTAAAAAATTGTAATAATTTTTATAGGTAAATGTAATGCATAGAGAATTTCTATTATATGTTCATTTGACCAACAACATATTTTAATTATTTATGTCCTCAAACTATTTTATTATATTGATGTTAAATTTCGTTTTGTTCGGTTTCAAAATATCGTGTTGTAATAATATTAGTAAACAAAATATCTCTCTTATTTCTCCCTTTCGCAATTGTAATATGAATGATTAATAGAAGGTGCCTATAATAAATTATATTTATTGACAACTGAATTTATGACCAGGTGGCCCAGTGCGGTTGTATTTGTGCCGCGTTTCAACTGGGCGACCAGACCTGTAAATGGGTATGGCTAAATAAATATGGGAACAAGTTTTTCAAATATTTCAATGCCGGGTTGCTGCGTCAGCGACCGAACTTACTGCCAACCTCTTGCTCTTCAGGAGTAACTTGGTATACAAACTTGAGTACTAGATACGTGAGTAATACTTTGGTAATATCGAGGGTAATATATTTGTTTTACATATACTCAAGTTAGGTAAGCCTTCAGGCATAATTGACAATGCGGTTAACAGATTTAATAAAGACAGTTTCACACAATTTCTATCTTCAAATAGATGTTTTTGCAGTCATTTTTATTTAACCAGTGTCTGATTTAATCGAGAGTGAAACCGCTCACCGAAATGTGTACATCAAAATACTCGTTTTTCATATTTAATTACTCGTTTATTGCTCAGAAATAATGGAAATGGGGTATCGGACGTGTGACATACTATTTATTACTCAAATAGTACTCAGTATTACTCAAACTTATACAGCAAATTACTCGCGGTTTCCCCCTCGAATTTAAGAATTACAGTATAAGGTATTGTCTTTAATCAACAAATTGTGAAGATTGAATAATGACTAGTGTCGAAACAAGAGGATATTAATACTTTCTGAATCTAATGCGACATTGTGTGGGTAGATTGCTGTCGCCCCGTATTCCCTAAAACAATACGAGGAAATAAGATAATACTGAGAACAGAGAAAGCGATTATGATGTACATGAGACAGCTTGTCTCACGCGCGTAGCTTTTTTTTCTGTCAATTTAATTCGAACAATGCTAGGCAAACCTGTATCTTTAAGAGAATTGTGGAAAATAAAAAAATAAAATCAGTGAGTGGATAATCAAGTAATCATATTTGTTATCGAATTTGTTATCAATTGAAAATAGTAAAATACGAGTTAAAATACTTCTTAATAGTCTATACCTACCGAGAGAAAAGTTTGGATATAGAGATTTAAAATATTGTCTCTAAACCGAGCTCTAAACTCGGTAGAACAGCGCTGTTAGAGAATAAGAAAAAGTCATATTTTTCCTTTTTAAATATCGAGTCGATATGATACATTATCATTCATTTTCCTATAAGTACTTGAGTCAAATTTTCTAGTATTTGAAGATAAATAATCCAAGAACCCAAGATGGGCTTATTCGAGGGATTACTTGTATCAGATAATGATGATAGAATACCTATATGAAATTGAATTACTTAGTCAAGTAGGTACTTAATTTTTCAATTTCTGGGAAAAGAATTCTATACCTACTTACAGAGCTCCATAAAACAAAACGATAAATATTATCTCAAATGACCACTTCTTTGACCACTATAGTTTATGTTAGTCACAGTTCCCGTCATACGGGATTTTTTTTCATGAGAGAGCTTGTCAGATATGTAACACAGGTCTGCAAAAAAACACTTCGAA